ATCTCCCCCCCCGTGGCCCTTTGTGGGTTCCAGCAGGGGCGGGACCCCCCCAAAATCCACCCCCCTCGGGCTCGGCCCCCCCCCTTTTGTGCCCCCCCCGCGGCTATTTCGGGCCCCGCGGCAGCTGCAGGAAAGGTCAGAGCTCAGCGGGGTCACCCCAAGGTGCCCCCCCAGCCCCAAATGCCGCCCCCCGGCACCCCCAAAACCCCCCCCGGACACGGGTGAGCCGTTATGGGGGGCGGGGGGTGGGTTTTGGGGGGGGCCCCACGCGGGAGGAGCCGCCCCCGGGCTGGGGGGGGCTGATAAGGGGGTGGTGCCGCCCCCCCCCCCCCCCCGCGGGAAAGGGGCACGGGAGGCCCTAAATTTGGGTGGGGGGTGCCCCAAAACGGACAAGTGGTGGGGGGAGGTGGGGGGGGGTAGCGGGAGGGGATTTGGGGCACCCCAAAGTGTGTTGGGCGGGTTTGGGGCACCCCAAAGGGTGTTGGGCGGGTTTGGGGCACCCCAAAGTGTGTTGGGCGGGTTTGGGGCACCCCAAAATGTGTTGGGTGGGTTTGGGGCACCCCAAAATGTGTTGGGTGGGTTTGGGGCACCCCAAAGGGTGTTGGGGGGTGGTTTTGGGATCCTCCGTAGCCGGGGAGGGTCTGTGGGGTCCCTAATGGGGGGGTCTGGAGGGATCCCATAATGGGGAGAAGGTCTGTAGGGACCCCAGTGGGGGGTCTATGGGGTCCCCTAATGGGGGGTCTGTAGGGACCCCAATGGGAGGGTCTATGAGGTCCCCTAATTGGGGGGTCTATATGGACCCCAATGGGGGGCTCTATGGGGTCCCCTAATGGGGGGCTCTAAAGGGACCCCAGTGGGGGGTCTATGGGGCCCCTAATGCAGGGGAGGGTCTTTTTTAGGGCTCCCAATAGGGGGTGTCAATAGAGACCCCAAGGGGGGGTCAGTGGGGTCCCCAGTAGGAGAGTCAGTGGGGAGCCTAATGGGGGGTCAGTGGGGACCCCAATGGGGAGGGTCAGTGGTGACCCCCAATAGGGGGGTCTCTGGGGTCACAAATGGGAGAGTCTTTGGGGTCCCCAATGGAGGGGATGTCTTGGGGGTCTCCAATAGGGGGGTCTCTGGGGTCCCCAATGGAGGGGATGTCTTGGGGGTCTCCAATAGGGGGGTCTCTGGGGTCCCCAGTGGAGGGGATGTCTTGGGGGTCTCCAATAGGGATGTCTTTGGGGTCCCCAGTGGGGGGGTCAATGGGGTCCCCCCACAGTCCCCTCCCCCCCTCCGGCGCAGTTGCCTCGTGCCCCCTGGCTCCGCCCCCCGGCGCCCGCAGCCAATCGGCGCAGAGGGGGCGTGGCCATGCCCCTGTTTGGCTGCTGCGGGGGGCGGGGCTGCCCCGGGCAGGGCCGCTGGAGCCGCTGCTGGAGGGGGTGAACTGGGGGCACTGGGGGGGCTTGGGGGGTCCCGGGAGGGCTGGGTGGCACTGGGGTGGTCGCGTCCCCTCCCCTGGGGCAGCTGTCACCTTTCCCCTGTGCCAGTTGTCCCCCCGCGGTGACAGTTGTGTCGCCCCCCCC